CTGCTCCTGCGGGCCGAGCCCTGCGGGGGATAAAGAGAAGGAAGACCTGTCCCAGCCTTCCAGGTCCTACAAAGGAGCTAAGAAAAGCTGGTGAAATCATACCCTATGAAATACCCTCTGAAATTGTATATATCAGTCAAAATCATAACAGAACTTTCTGGAATGGTGTTAGGTGACCTTAACTGCCCTGTTTTTCCATGGAAAGATCAAGGGGAGGAGTTGGGAAGGATACACCATATATATTTCACGTCACAGTGGAATGAACCCTACTTACAGCAGCAGGAAATGAACTTCTGCATATATTTTTTTTGACCCCAGGGGTGCCAATCTGGGGGACAGGCTTCCAGGAGGAGCATTATCCTCAGCAAATGGTCTGTAAACAGAGCCTTGTGAGCCTTTCTCCCAGATGTGAGTTGCATAATGAGGTCAACTTGTTTTGGCTTTAAAATACGCATTTCCGTACCCACTCTTACACTATGTCCTGATTTAGGGAGCACAGGAAAAAAAAAGTGTCCATTGAGCAGATGAGAGACTTGAGTCCTGGAGAGGAGGTGGCTCTTCCAGGCCATGCAGAGAGTTAGCAGGCTGGGCGGAGGGGCCACTTCTCCTTACTAATGCCTGGAGCTGGGTGGCCCTCAGTTCCTGCTGACCCTCCTTAGAACCAGAGTGGGGCATTGGGAATGGTCAGCTGGAGTGGGGAGATTCCTCTACAGGGTACTCACAGCCCAGGTACTGTGCTAGTCTCTAGATTCATTTGCTAATAAAACAGATAAGTCCTCACCCTCCTGGAGCTTACATTCTAGTTGGGGGGAAGGCAGACAAAAAACAAACATAAGGAAGTATATTTTTGTATAGTATGTTAGAAAATAATACATGCTGTGGAAAGAAGAGAGCAGAGCGATGAGAATTAGCAGTTTGGGGTAAGGTGACACCCAATTTAAAATAGGGTGCTCTGGGTAGACTTCCACTGAGAAGGTGTGAGGGAAGCAAAAGCTTGAAGGATGTGAGGCAGTTAGCCAGGTAGATGTCTGGGAGAAGAGTGTTCCAGGTAGAGGCGATAGTCAGTGCAAAGGCCCTGGGGCAGAAATGTGCCTGGTATGATCAAAAAATACTGAGGGGGTGTCTGGGTGGCTCAGTCAGGTAAGTACCTGACTCTTGATTTTAGCTCAGGTTATGATCTCAGGTTTGTGAGATAGAACCTTGTATCAGGCTCTGTGCTGAACATGGAGCCTGCTTGGGATTCTCTCTACCCGCCCCCCCTCCTCAAAATCTCTCAAAATAAATAAATAAACATTACAAAAAAAGAAAGAAATACTGAGGAGGCCAGTGTAGCTGGAGTTGAGTGAGTGAGGGGGAGAGCCCAAGATGAGGGCACCAGGTCATGAGGCCATGTCATGGAGGGACAACAGGGGGGCCTTGCAGGACGAGAAACCACGCGAAGACTTTAAACAAGGGAGTGATTTCATCTAACTTACATTTGAACAGAATCTCCAGGGCGGCTGAGTAGAAAACAGGGGTGGAACAGGGAGGTGAATGAGGCTGTGAGAGTCGTCCAGGTGAGTGGTGATGGTGGCTTTGGCTGGGGTGATGGCCGCAGAGAGGCAGTCAGATTCTGGATCTATTTCCAATGTAGAAGCAATTTGCTTGTGGGTTGGATGTCCAGTGTGTGGAAGAAAAGAGTAGATGAATACTCCGTTGTTTATCGTCAGAAAAGCTAGGTAAAATGGAGAGGGGATCATTCACTGAGATCATTCACGCCAGGTGACTCAGAGTTAAGGACACCGCGAGTCCAATTTGGGAGGCGTTCGGTCTGAGATGCACGTTGACATCTAAGTGGAGACACGGAGCAGGCACTTAAAAACCATACAGCTAGATGCACTTAGCAGGAAGCTAACCTATAGAGAAAAGAAAAGAGGTCTGAGGACTGAGCCCAACTTTCAAAGTCAGATGAAAGGACAGTATGTACCAATAGCAGGAAACCGAGAAGGAGACAGTGAGTTAGAAAGGACACCAGGAGAGGACGAGATCCTGGAAGTCAAATGAAGAGCGAGGTTGAAAAAGGAAAGGGCGCCCTCACCTTCACTGAAGGCTGCTAAGGACTGAGAATAACCCCTGGGCATAGCCATGGGCAGGTTATTGGTAATCTCATTAAGAAAGGCTTCTTTTGGGATAGAAGTCTGATTGGAGTGGGTTCCCACCCTCTCCAAAAAAAAAAGGAAATGAGGAAGTAGAGACTGAGTATAGGCAACTCGTTCAGGAAGTTTTGCTATTAAGGAGAAATTGGGCAATAGCCGGAGACCTCGAGGGGGTAAGGAGATTCGGGCTCCAGGACACAGGTGGCAGACTAGCCACCCAGAGGAGCACAGGCCAGTGACCCACGGTCTCCCCTGCCCTCTGTCCACATCTCAGCGGCCTTCCCTGACTTTCCCTGGCAGAGGAAATGCCATAGCAGTGTCTCCATCCTCCAGCAAGCAGGGAAGTATCTATGGGCTACAGACTCGAGACTCAAAATCAGGCCCAAAAATCAGCTATCTGCCATAGGGATAGAATGAAAACATGTCATTGCCTTTGAAAAAAAAAAAAAAAAAAAAAAAAAAAAAAAAAAAGTAGGGAAAAAAAGGTACTTTATTCCCCCCCAAAAAAAACCCCAAAAAAACAAAAAAACCCACCAGTTGGGAACATGACTATAAAAAAGAAGCTCATGTCCCTTCTATGGTAATATATGTGCCAATTCATCTGAGAAAAAAGAAAAAAGATAAGAAAAAGAGCATTTTACAACTTTTCCTTCCATGATGACGTTTCACTTCTTCACTAATCAGACAAAGGCAAACAAAACCTGTAAGGTATCATTTTTTTGCCTGATTGACAAGTTTTATTTTTAAGTTTATTTATTTTTGAGAGACAGAAAGAGACAGAGCATGAGTGGAGGAGGGGCAGAAAGAGACAGAGACACAGAATCTGAAACTGACTCCAGGCTCCGAGCTGTCAGCACAGAGCCCCACGCGGGGCTCAAACTCATGAACCCTGAGATCATGACCTGAGCCAAATTCAGATGCTTACTGACTGAGCCACCCAAGTGCCCCAGTGGTTGACAAGAATTTTAAAGAATAATCCCTATTATTCACAAGTATTTGGTGAAGTAGGCATTCTCTTAAAACATGGGTGGGAGGGGTGTCTGGGTGGCTCAGTCAACTAAGCATCCCGACTTCGGCTCAGGTCATGATCTTGAGGTCTGTGAATTCGAGCCGTGCTGACAGCTCAGAGCCTGGAACCTGCTTCCGATTCTGTGTCTCCCTCTCTCTCTGCCCCTCTCTCCCTGCCCCTCCCCCACGCACAGTCTGTCTCTCAAAAATAAACATTAAAAAAAAATTTTAATAATAAAAAAATAAAACATAGGTGGGAGAGAAAACTGGCCCAAGGTTTGGGGGAAGCAATTTGGCTCTTTGGCTTCATCAAAAGGCTTTGTAAAGTTTATTCCTTTTACCCTCAGCAATCCCTTTTTGGGGAATGGAGAGAAACCATTGAAAACTTGGGCAAAGATTAATCACAAGATTTCTCAGAAACTTGTTTACAGTAATGGAATATATATGGAAAAATCAAATGTCTAGACATTGAACACTAGCTTACAACATTTGGACACTTTCATATCTGCCAATAATGAGAAATGCTTAGAATATGTTGGTAAGTGAAAAAAAGCTATAGAAGTATGACAAATGAATGATTCCATGCTATCTTAGGGATTGTATATTCCCTCTTCAACTAGGTCTAGTTTAAAAACATTATCCTATTTATTGAATTGTAATACCCATGTCATTCTCCCTATGTCTAGCTGGGTTTTCTTCACACCGGCTGAAACTGGTTTCCCTTCTGTCCATTTTTTATTTCTTTATTTCTTTTTTCTTTTTTTTTTTTTCAACGTTTATTTATTTTTCGGACAGAGAGAGACAGAGCATGAACGGGGGAGGGGCAGAGAGAGAGGGAGACACAGAATTGGAAACAGGCTCCAGGCTCTGAGCCATCAGCCCAGAGCCTGACGCGGGGCTCGGACTCCCGGACCGCGAGATCGTGACCTGGCTGAAGTCGGGCGCTTAACCGACTGCTCCGCCCAGGCGCCCCTTTATTTCTTTTTTCTAATGGGTGTTTTTCTTTCTTTTCTCTCTTCAAGGAATCTACATAGGCTTAAAGTCTATGATTTTCACAACTTACAGAATGAATTCTCCCTGTTATTGGTTTGATTGGCTGCCTTCTTAGCATTCATTCTTTTGGGGACTTTTGGAATCCTAGCTTGTTGGCTCATCTTGAATGCCGTGTGTGTGTGTGTGTGTGTGTGTGTGTGTGTGTGTGTTCATGCTCAGTCTTCCTCTAGACGTTTCACTGTTGCTTCCATCCAGCTTTCTGCCTTCCCCTCCTCCCCAATTCAATACTGGTTTTACCCTGGTGGCCCAGAGCTCCCATCCATGGAGATCTGAGGACACTGGGAGTGCAGTCACCAAACAGGCATTGGCCTGTCCAGGTCTGGGTGAGGAGACAATGTCAACTCCTCTTTTTCTCCCAAGTACAAAATAAGTCAATCCCAGGCAATGGTTGGTCACAGCTGTTTTCAGCCCTGATCCATCAGTCGGGAGACTCGCATCCTACCCCAGGAGCAGAGTTCTTAGAAGCCTCTGCTCCCAGAGGCGAGCGAGACGAGAGATTCCATTTTACAGCCATCGTGTGTTTCTGTTTCATCTCTGGCCGACAGGGATATTTATCCTATTTTTGAGAGCAGCCGGTCTTTTACATTTTTTAAAGTATTTTATCTGTCATTGCTTTGTGTGTGGTATAGACGAGGGGTCCTCCAGGCGCTGACTTCGGGCCACCTTAACCAGGAGCCCCAAGTTGCATCTTCTGACTTTTCTGACCCCAGCTTGTGGGTATGAAGGAAGTCACATTAGCTTTCATGCCCACCTTTTTCTCACTGTGGATCTTGGCCTCCCTACTCGACTTCCAACTTCCCCCAGGGGTTTCTCCTGTGGGCCTTTGCTGTCGCTTGTGCTCACAAGCCAGCCTGCTCAAATCCCTGCCACCCTGGTGCTCCCGGAGCTGTCCACCACCAGCCAGCCATTTGAGGCCATCTCCTCCACTGCTCAGCCACTGAGGTCCTCTGAAACTTCAAGACTCCCTGAGCCCACACCGTACCCGGGCCACCTGCATTCCCTGCAAAAGCGGGAAGAGCATCTGATCTGCTTTCCGAGAGCTCAGACCAGAGGTCAAGGGTAGAACAGACCCATGCTTTCCTCCTCCTCTTCCCAGGTGCCACCCCAAGCCTTTCCCACAAGGTTGTCGGCTCAGAAAAGAGGCTGCGCTAAAATAAAATACCAAACAAAATATTTGAGCCAACTCGCTAAAATAAATAATAAAATAAAACAAAAGCATATATTTGTGCTCTCAGAATTGCAATTCAGGGAAACAGAGGTAGGCAGTGACCCAAAGGGTGCCCTCCCAGGGAACACAAGTCAAGGGCTTTTAAAGACAAAAGGGAATGCTTGTATAAGTTGTTTACAAAGAATTTCTGTTGGTGGCAGAAAACCAGTGTTGGCTGAATCTAATTGGTTGCTAGGGCTATCGTTAAGCAAAGTCTCTTTGTGTAGCAAGTTGCAGGTGTTCAGGCTGGATCCTTAGAATATTTGTGGTTTGGCCCGGTTCAGAAGGTCACGGTCTACCTGGTGAAGTGTGCAGGCCCACCTCCTTAATGGCCTCCCAGCTCCATTGTAAAACCCCATGGGGTAAAACCCCATGTCCTAAGCCATCCCATTCCATTTCACCTTTCAAAAGGCAAACCAGCTCATACAAATGGGTTCCTCAGAAACTATTCCACTCTGAATCCCATGTTGGGCTATCTTCTGAATGTGACTAGAAAGGAACCCTTCATTGTAGCAGAGACTTTACCTGGGTGGGTGGGTTTACAGTGATTTTTTTAAATCTGTGTGTGTGTGTGTGCTTTTATGTATTTTTTTCCTATAATTAATGTTTATCATTTTTGTGATCATGCAAAAACGTAACCAGGGAAAAAAGTCTATCCTCCCCAAATGTTTGTGAAAAGGAAGGCATGTTTAAAAATACATTTCACAATGTTTATTATCATCCCTTTAAAAATTTGCATTTTGCCCAGATACTAGGATATAAATTAGACTTTTATGTGCCAGAACGTTGGCAAGTATCGGATCACATTGCTCCATTGCGTTATATTTTTTACAGGCACCCCACATCCCAGGGTAGGGTCCTAGCTCTTTAGCTTGCCTCGTACAAGACCCTTCATGATCTGACTCCTGCTCCTGGCTCTGGGTCCGTTTTCAAGCTCGTCCTTCCCCATGTCGCTGTTTAGTTATACCTGCACTGCTTCTGGCTTCCTGAACACAGTATGCATTTCCGTCTTCGTGCCTCTGTGTTCGATCTTCCAGCTGCTCGGAATGTCCTTTTTGTTCTCCAGCTGGCAAACTCCTATTCATACTCTAAAACCCATCTCAGGTCAGTCACTTCCACTGGGGAGTCCTCCTGATACTCTCTTCTTGGCCCTTCTGTATCTGCCTTTACCGTGCTGGATTCTTTTACTCATCTCTGTAGACCCAGACGGTGCATGGCACATGGTATTTCATAAATACTTGTCAAATTGAGGCAGGTTTATTCATTCCACAAATACACCTGGAGTGCCCACCATGTGTTGGGCACTGTGCTAGTTTCCTGGGATTCAAAATTAATGAGCCAAAGGGGCGCCTGGGTGACCCAGTCGGTTAACCATCTGACTTCAGCTCAGGTCATGATCTCACGGTTTGTGGGTTCGAGCTCCGTGTCAGGCTCCGTGCTGACAGCTCAGAGCCCGGAGCCTGCTTTGGATTCTGTGTCTCCTTCTCTCTCGGTCCCTCCCCCGTTCATGCTCTGTCTCTGTCTCACAAATAAATAAACATTAAAAAAATTCAAAATTAATGAGCCAGAGTCCTTGCCTTTAGGAGCTCAGAGTGCAGTGAGAGTAGACAGAGAATCATCCACGGGTAATCACAGTGACGCCAGGACAGGGGCAGCTCTGTCTCACCTCTTCTTAGTCCTCCTTTTCTTCCCTAACTGGTTACCACCTGAAAGCATAATTCATACTAACTGCTTTGCCTATTTCTTCAAAAGAATTTTCCATTTCCTACACATAGTTTCTAAAGTCACTTAATGGAAGTTTCTATTTCTCTCTTCACTCTAGAACAGAGGAACACTATTTGAATACTCAAAATAGCCCCCCATTTGCTGCTTCCCAAGCAAGTGATCCCCCTGTGACTGGGGGTGTGCAAAGTCAGGGCTGACGAACACCAAGTGTGGTTCGGGAATGACGGAAGAGAGACTTAAGCTAAAAAAAGGTTGGTTAAGCTCTATGACCTTGAAGGTCTTTCTAATCCTGAGTCAAAGGAAAGCACATGAAGCCTAAACCAAGATCATGGTGATGAAATTATGAAATTTGGAAGTTTGGGGTTCATGAAAGAATGGCTAAGAAAGAATTCTTGAGATGTTTTTGGTGCAAAAAGGTGATTTTATTATGGCACTGGGACGGGACCCGTGGGCAGAAGGAGCCGTGCTGGGATTGTGAGGAGTGACTGATTATATACTTTTTAATTGGGGGGGTTGGAGAGAGCATAAGTCTCTAAGGAATTTGGAAGCAGGGCTTTCAGGATCTTGAGAAGCTAGCTGCTGTTAAGTAACTAAAGTTACTTTTAGTCTTTAATAATATCAGACATAAATATTAAGGCACTAAGGCAGCCATGAGTTCCTGGAGGAAGGTCACGTTCTGTATGTTTCAGGTGTCTATCAATGGGCTGCAAGCTGTAAGGAGATTTAACGTAAACTACACGTTCCTTGGGGCACCTAGGTGGCTCAGTTGGTTAAGTGTCCGCCTCTTGATTTCCCCCTCATGATCTCCTAGTTCGTGAGTTCTAGCCGAGCGTCCACTGCCAACGCGGAGCATGATGGGGATTCTCCCTCCCCTTTCTCTCTCTGCCCCTCTCCTGCTCTCTGTCTCTCACAATAAATAAACCAAACAATTATTATTGCCCTCATTTTGGAAATTAACCAGAGACCTCTAAAATCACCAGTCAGGGGTCCTAATCTGCCACAGATGTTCAGCCTCAGCTGATCTCTTGCCAGGCAGGACAAAAAGTAAAAAGCACTTCAAATTTTAGTTGTGGCATGGCTTTGTGTTTGTATAATCTCTCTTAGGTTTTTAGCAAATAGAGCTCACAGACCTCCCTCCCTCCCCAGGTCCCTTGAACTGGCAACCTCTTCACAGGACTGTTCCAATATGTTTTTACTCAGTACTTTGGGACTGAGCTTTGCTCCCTGGGTAGTTAAATACAGTCTCCACGGGCGCCTGGGGGGCTCAGAAGGTTCAGCTTCCAACCTCGGCTCAGGTCCACAATCTCACAGCTCGAGAGTTGGAGCCCTGTGTTGGGCTCTGTGCTGACTGCTCAGAGCCTGGAGCCTGGTTCAGATTCTGTGTCTCTGTCTCTCTGCCCCTCTCCCCCTCCCCTCCCTCAAAAATAAATAAACATTAAAATAAAAACACAGTCTCCGGAGTTAGCCTACCATGGTTGAATGCCTGCCTGCCACGCCATCTGGACATGTTATTTCACATCTCAGAGCCCCACTTTCCTCTTCAGTGGCTTAATGATGATAATGCCCACCAGACAGGACTGTGTTATATATTTACCTGAATGCTGTGTATATAGTCCTTAGCACACTGCATGGCTCAGAGTGAGTACTTCAACATTTCTGTTGGTAATCAATGCTATTGGGATCAATGAAGTCTCAGTTGGCTCATTAGGTGTTGAGTAGAGCCTACTCTGACTTATTGGTGATTTATTATTATTATTATTGCATGGTGCATTTCTAGATCTCCTACCTATTGATCTCCTTGAGGGAGGGGAAATGCAAGATATCGGGCCAGATGGAAGACAGCCAACATCTTTCCAGATAAATCCTTGCCCCACCCTCGCAATAGGCTCCTTGTTGGAATTTCTCAGGAGCAAGTTGGCCAGTGGCCAGCACGTGGGTGACCGAGGGGCTGTGGGTGTGAGCAGGGCTTTAGAAGACTCAGGAAGAGGAGGAGCTGGAGAGAAGTGAACTGTGGGTTCCTCGATGCAGGCTGCCATACAGACCACAGCCTCTCTGGGACCTGTGGTCTAGAAAACAGGAGAAAGGATGAGCACACGGGGAGACCCAGCCCAACCAGACCTTGAAAGTTGCAGAGGGTAAGTGGCTCATTTGTCTAGCTTTCCATGCCAGCGACAAGGGAAAGGCAAGGGTTCTTTGCCTTTGGAGATGGGGTAAGCTACAAAGGATGACTGTCTGCCCGGGACAGAAGTGAGGAGACCCGAGCCTGGTCTTGCCTGGTCATTAGCAAGCTGTGCAATCTTGGGCAAGTCACCAGTCCTCTCTGGTGCCTGTTTTCACATCTGTAAAATCAGGCATCGTCATCGTCAGACTAACGACGATATCTGGCATTTGTACAGTGTTTGCCAGTTGCACTTTCCCAAATGGCACCTCGTGTGATCCCTGCGGCAGCTCCTGTTGGAAGAATGCTTGTCACGTTTTACAGATGAGGAAACTAGAGTGCATGGGGCCAGTTATTATTCAGTTAGGGCCAAGCAAGCCCGGACCCAAAATCCTGGTCTCCTGAGGAAAATTCTGGCCTCTGGTGAGCATACTGTTCCCCTGGAGCTGTGAAATCTGGATTCCTCGCTCGTTGTCGAGGACTTCTGTCTCCTTCTTTTCTCCCCCATGCCCTCCCTCCTTCCTTCCTGCCAGCTGTTCCAGCCTCTTCTCCACCAGCCTCCCAGAATTTCTTCTCATTCTGCAGGCCCAAAACACTCATATTTCTGAGAAGGGGCTGGTGAACATCAGAAACCCATCCCCACCCTCCCTGGGTTAGCACCTGCATGCAATGCAGCCTGTTTTCCAGAATTCTCTCTGCTTTGTGGAATGCCTTCCTCTAGGTCCCGAGAGGTGAAGTAAGTGGGGCTTTAACCTTCAGGGCAGCAGTTCTCCAGGTGTGAGCCTAGACCACTCACTGTGGGTCGCAAACTTCCAGGGTGCTTGGTTACATGTGCGGATTCCCAGCCCCTCCGCGCCGAAGTTGGTGAGTCAGAATGGGCATCTTAGCAAAGCCCTCCCTGTTTCTGACAGGCATGTATCACAGTTTGGGAATCACTACTCCTCCCATACTGCACTACTAGCCAGCAGAGGGCACTTCATAGATTACTTAACAGTGAACTATCCTTGTATTTCTGGGAAAAGTCCTTCGTGATACAGGTGGATTATTTTTAAAAAAAAATTTTTAATGTTTATTTTTTTGAGAGAGAGATTGACAGAGTGTGAGAAGGGGAGGGGCAGAGAGAGAGAGAGGAAGATATAGAAACTGAATCAGGCTCCAGGCTCTGAGCTGTCAGCACAGAGCCCGAAATGGGGCTCGAACCTACGAACTGTGAGGTCATGACCTGAGCTGAAGTTGGACGCTCAACGGACTGAGCCACCCAGGCGCCCCTATTATTTTTTAAGTAAACCCCAGGGTTTAGCTTGGTTGTATTTTAGTTGGAGTTTTGCATCTCTACAAGTTACATTTGTCTAGAATTTTCTATCTATCCATCTATCTTGCTTGCTTGCTTGCTTGCTTTTTTGTATGCTATCTTCATCGGGATTGGGTAATGGTGGCTTTGTAAAGTAAATTGGGAGTCTTACCATTGTTTTTTACCGTCTGAGATGATTTGGCATTGGACTTATTCTTTGAAGATTGGATAGGACTCAGCTGTAACAACAAGCTGGGCCTGATATTATTGTAAAGGGTTAACATTTCACTGCCTTTCTCCTTTCTTGAATGATTTTTGGTCTGTTCAGGTTGTTACTTCTTGAAATCGATTCATTTCCCTGAATTCACCAACAGTCTACACACAATACTCTTCCATTTCTGTAGCACCTCCATTTTTATTGCCCTTCTCAATATTAATGTATTTCTTTCACTTTTTTTTCTTTAATCGTGTTTTTCTATTCAGGCTTTTCCAAGACCCAACTTCTTTTTTCACTGAGTTGAAGCGTAATTGACAAAACACAAACCGCATAGTTAAAGCGAACAGTTTGATGAGCTTTTAGCATAGGGATACATCTGTGAAATCATTGCCCTAATCAAAATAAATTTATTATTTTGACTTTATTCAGTTTTCTAGTTCCTGAATTTCAGACTTTCTACTTAATAGTCAATCCTTCTATTTATTGTGTGTGTATTTTATTTTTTTCCCAGTTCCTTAAGTGAAAGTTAGCTTGTTTATTTTTAAATTTAATATATAAATACAGTTGATTCTCATTATTCATGGCAGTTGTGTCCTATAAAGTCATTGAAAACAATGAATTAGGGAATTCTGAGCCATTGCTCCTAGGGAAAATACAGGGTTAAGTCCTTGCTAACATCTGGGTGCAACGTTTTTGTCAAAAAATCAATGTATAGCCTTGGGTTTTTTTTTTTTTAAGTTTACTTATTTATAATCTCTACACCCAATGTGGAGCTCAAACTCATGACCCCCAGATCAAGAGTCACACACTCCAGGGTGCCTGGGTAGCTCAGTCGGTTAAGTGTCTGACTTTGGCTCAGATCATGATCTCATGGTTCGTGAGTTCGAGCCCCACATGGGACGTGATTCGTGGGTTCAAGCCCCGTGTCAGGCTCTGTGCTGACAGCTCAGAGCCTGGAGTCTGCTTCAGATCCTCTGCCCCCCTCTCTCTCTGCCCCTCCTCTGCTCTCTCTCTCTCTCTCAAAAAATAAATAAATAAAACTTAGAAAAAAAAAGTCATACACTCTACCAACTGAGCCAGCCAGGCACCCCTCAATGTATAACCCTGTTTTATGTGTGCTTGTAGTTAAAGCCTCCTTTAAGAATGTAAGTTGTTGAGGGGCGCCTGAGTGACTCAGTCGGTTAAGCATCCAACTTCGGCTCAGGTCATGATCTCACGGTTTGTGAGTTTGAGCCCCACGTCCAGCTCAGTGCTGACAGCTCAGAGCCTGAAGCCTGCTTCAGATTCTGTGTCTTCCTTTCGCTCTGCCCCTCCCCCATTTGTGCTCACTCTCTCTCAAAAATAAATAAAATGTAAAAAAAAAAAAAA